TAAACAAATGAAGGCTTTTTATACTTTGGGCTCCTGGGTTCCATTAAAGTGGAGCCTTGGTGGCGTAGTGGTTAAGAGCTCAGCTGCTAACCAAAAGGTAGGCAATCGAATCCACCAGCTGCTCTTTGAAATCCTATGGGGCAATTCTACTCTGTCCTATAGGGTGGCTATGAGTCAGAATCAACTCTATAGCAACAAGTTTTTTGGTTTTATTAATGCAGTCTAAAATGATACTAGCCTTTTCAGCCACTACATCATATTATCGTATTATATCTTGTGGTCAATTAACCTACTTTGAACTTTTTCACAAATATAAGTAACAATCTAGGTATTCTCTGTTCTGTACAGCTTATTTTTTAAATCTAAATGCAGTTTACATTTACCCAAGTTAAATTTTACCTCACTGATTTCAAATGAGCATTCTAACTTGTCCAGATCTTTCTGAATTTTTATTTTATCATTCATGATAGTAATTTGCAACCCAAAGTGCAAATTTGTTGGAAACTACTCAAGATCAGCTCCCAGAGATTTTGATTTCATTGGCCTGAGAATCCTATTTTTTCTTTTAACTTTGTATTACAAAATTTTTAAAACATATTTTAAAAACTGAACACTATATTGGAACATCCATGTGTCCATCACTTAGCTTTAATAACTACGAACATTTTGTTAATTTTCTTTCATTTATCCTTCCCTGGAATATTTGAAAATAAATTCCAGACATTATATCATTTTATCCATAATACTCCAGGGCCATCGAGTTTGTTTAAAAAGGTCTGCAGTTGAATCTAACGTGCAGCCAATATTGAGAACCACTGACCTATTGTATTAAGTGTACCCTGCAATTTTCAGACATCTGCAAATCTGATAAACATTTCTTTTTTTTAGGTCAGTGGTAATGATGAACAAGTAGGAGCAGGGCTGAGTTTTAGAGGAGAGACCATTAAAAGAGCCACGGCTTGAAGATGGTATTCATTGTCAATGTGCTAGTTTACTACACAAATAAACGTGTACTTTAGTTTGACAAATCGACTCTTTTTGTTTATAAACTAGACCGAGGGCACTATGTAAGGCAACACTGTTCTAGCTGTATAACACTCATTTAAATAAATTTCCTAATTACAAACAAGATTTACTTCCATTCTAAGCAAAATATTTGATTACAAATTTATGCCATAGAAATGATTGTTGGAATGTTACAGAGGAGTCCATCTTTCCATAAGTTGCCATGCTTACAAAGTCAAACAGGTACACCTTTACTGAATTTTTATAATCTCAATTTCATTAAATGTTAATGAACAAACTAATTAGCAAACTGACAACACACTTAGTAGGAAATACATTCAAATAAGAGAAAGTAGTTTGCTCAATAAAGGTTGTGGATTTTCCTGATTCTATTACTTTTGCTATCAGAATCAAGTCTACCAAATGGAGCTATGAATGCTTATTTCAAAATAATGAAATAGTTACAGTTGGCATTTTGAAAGCTGCCAACTTTACACTGAGCTTGGCAAACAGCTAATAAACATAATTATTCTTTTGTCCTGTGTTCTTTCTCTCTGCATTCTTTTAAAAGCATTTACTTGAAAACTGGATATATGTAAGCACTTATTTCCGTCCCTAACTGAAATCTTTGTTCATTAAAGGATTTGGAATTTTTCTAGGGAAGGAACTGATGCCGCAAATGGCAGATTACAATGTCATTTGGGAAATAAGAATAGATGAATTATCAACCAAACTCAGTTACATTTCTGAAGATTAAAACATAGATAATATGAGGATTGTTACCATCTTTATTTACAACCACTTCTTACACTTCAAAACTTATGTACCAATGTACAAAAAAGTAAAAACAATAATAACAAAAAACTTGAATTCCTAGGTGCAAAGCAAAAAGCAAGTATGATAGCAAATGAACAAACTCGTATATAATATAGTACTATTAAGACATTATTTAGAAAAACTAAACCTGGGCATTATTTTGGTTAGTTTAAAACAAGAGGACAACTGATATAATAATAAAAACAAAAAACTTGTGATTATCACTTGTTTTAAAGCTTCACTTCTTTATATTAGAATAAGGGAGGAAAAGCAGAACGATCTAGAATTGAGTTGAAACAGCAGTGGAGACAAAAAATAACGAAGGTTTAATTCTCATCTTCCTTTAATGCTCTATCTCAGGTTTTCGGTTTTCTTCTTACATAGATGGGGATATTGCTCTTCAATAACCTTTTTATAATTGCTAAGGGCACTATATCTTTAGTCTCATATTTTCAAATCCAAATAAATGAATCTGGAATACTTGCTGCATCCCCAACAACTGCCATCTTTTGCTTTTGCGCTATCACATCATTCCTCCCACCTGGAACGTTCTCCTCAGTTCTCTCTACCAAACCACATCCAGATTGTTGTTAGTGCTCCTAGATGGCTGATTTAATTAAAAAACAATCCAAGCTGGTTTTTGACAAGATGCTCCACAGATGCCACACTGGAATTCTGCCACCAGCACACCACTGATTATTATTAATCACTACTTTGAGGAAATCTTTGTATCACTGAACAGGACACTTGATAAATATACTTCACACCAGAGCTGGCCTTGGGAAATTGCTTTGAGAGTTTCTAATACCCCCTCATTCATGGGGATTTATAAGCCAACAAAACCAGCTGGTATCATTAGTGGCTATCTCAGTAATTATATATTTGTTTGCTTATTTATATTTATTGTCTATCTGTCCCACCAGATTATAAACTCTGTGAGAGTAGGAATTATTTGTTTTATCTACCTGTATACTCAACACCAAGGACAATGGCCAGCTGCCACCCCATTTCTCTGCTTCCCTTCACAGCAAAATTTCTAGAAATAATTATCTATATTCACTCTGCTCCCAAATATCTACTTGGCTCATATACTCTAGTCCTTCTGGTCTCTGCTCATGTTGTTATTGTTGCTGTTAGGTGCTATCAAGTCAGTTCCCACTCATAGCGACCCTATGTACAACAGAACGAAACACTGTGCAGTCCTGTGCCATCCTCACAATCATTGCTATGTTTGAGCCCATTGTTGCAGCCACTGTGTCAATCCATTTCATTGAGGGTCTTCCTCTTTTTTGCTGAAACCCTCTACCTTACCAAGCATGATGTCCTTCTCCAGGGACTGGTCCAAAGTATGTGAGATGATAACATGTCCAAAGTGTGTGAGATGAAGTCTCGCCATCCTCACTTCCAAGGAGCACTCTGGCTGTACTTCTTCCAAGACAGACATGTTCATTCTGCTGGTAGTCCATGGTATATTCAATATTTTTCACAAACATCATAATTCAAAGGCATCAGTTCTTCTTTGTTCTTCCTTATTCACCTCAAAGAGGCTTTCCCAGACCAATTTATCTAAAATGTAAACCTCTTGTCCTCTCTATCACTATATCTTGCTTTATTTTTCTTCATATCATTGTTACCACAGCCATATTATATTTTTATTTGCCTCCCTCAACTAGAATGTTAGCCCCATGAAAGTTAGAATTTTGTTTTGTTTATTGCTGTTATCTCCAGTACCTAAAACAGTGCTTGGTTTTTAGAAGCCACTCAGTAAATAGTTGTTGAATGTAGGTATTATATACCATCCCATTTAGGATTTACTCTTACCTTTTGTGGTTATATAGCAGCAGCAAAAGATGGAAAACTGGCCAAGCTTTCTAACATAGCCCAAAACCCATTGCCATCGAGTCGATTCCAACTCATAGTGACCTTATAGGACAGAGCAGAACTGCCCCATAGGGTTTCCAAGGTGGATTCGAACTGCCGACCTTTTTTGGTTAGCAGCCGTAGCTCTTAACCACTGTGCCACCAGGGCTCCTTCTAACATAAAGGCAATATAAAATCCATGCCATAGCTGTATAGCAATGTGGCTGCACAATAAGGATCAGCATGAATCCAATTTCCAAAATGTGGAGATGGATCCAGTCTTCATATTTCCACTTCTCCATCCTCTTCGCCAGCTGCTCCCACAGCACTCTCTCTCTCTGACCTAGCCGCCAGGAGCTAGGTCAGGGCTCACAAGTTAAAAGGAGACCGTCCTTCAGTCCTTCAGACTGCCAAATAGGCAGACACCAGCCACAAGTCTGGGGAGCCCACAAAACACTCCAACTTTCTGACCTGCTGGCCACAAATTTGCAGCTGGTTTCCCACTACCCTTTTAGGATACCAGCTGCAAGCTTAAGAGTCCACACAACACCCTTATTTTCTGACCTGCTGGCTCTACTATCCCTTGGGTCCAATAATTCACTGAAATGACTCACAGAATTCATGGAACGTATACCATACTCAGGAGCCCTGGTGGCACAGAGGTTAAAGTACTCAGCTGCCAGCTGAAAGGTCTGCAGTTCGAACCCACCAGCCACTCCATGGGAGAAAGATGTGGCAGTCAGCTTCCGTAAAGATTTACAGCCTTGGAAACCCTATGGGGCAGTTCTACTCTGTCCCATAGGGTCACTGTGAGTCAGAATTGACTCAGCAGCAGTGGGTTTGGTTTTTGTTGTTGTTTTTATACCATACTTATGACTACAGACACATAATAGCAAAAAAGGATACAAATTGAGAGACACATAGGGTGAGGTCTGGGAGGCTTCCCAACGTGAAGCTTCCACGTCCCAAGGGAAGCAGTGCCCTCCCAAAAGCAGATGTTCTTGTCAACCAGGAAACCCTCTGAGCCTTAGTATTCAGGGCTTTTATTGGCCAGTCCTGCATATAGGCTAAATCATACCTCCTGAGGCTAGTTGATATAGGTCTCCCAGGTGAGTTTTTTCTGGTCTGGCCAGGCCCCATTTGCCAGCACAAATTTTCAGGTGTGGCCTGGAAGTCCCAGATCAACACACCCCAATTACTCCAAGAGTTATTTCTTCAGTGCCAAGGACAAAGGTCACCTTACTTAGAGTAAAACTAGGTCTTTACCCCACAGTGACAAACACAGTGCCTTTATTTTTTAGTATTACCTTTTAGTTTACCTTACATCCATGGTCCTTCCACAATTCTCCACAAGCAGTATGGGCTTTCACCACCTGCAGAGTTACTTCTTCTTCAAGTATTATGTTTTGAGAAAAACTACTAAGGCAATGAAAGTTATATGTGCTTTTCAATACCACCCAGCAAGACAAGTGATGCTTATATCTGTAGAGGAACTGTTTAAGAACTTCTAGGTTTTGGGCAACTGTAGATCAAAAAGAAATGCCATCATCATAAATTATTCTAATTCTTGTACATTATTCTGATTATGAATCATAAATGAATAATCACTATCATACTAAAATTCTTGAATAATTAATTATCAGTGTTTTCCTTTTGCAATGAAATCATTGTAGATTGGACATACTCAATGTTACTACTCCAAATAAATTTTTAGATACAACATGGGAAAAGTAATTACTATGGAAAAATCATGTAAGTGCATAGCCGTCTTTGGTCTTCAGTCACACAAAATTCATTTAACATCTTAATCCTCCATCAATAGATAAATGAACGTCAAATGTTTGTATAGTCGCTCATGGGTTTCAAAACTCATTTGATCCATGTAATAATTATGTGAGGTGGGAAAGACAAGTTTTATCCCCATTGTGTGAATGAGGAAACTAAGACTTTATAAAATAATTACAACTGAATAGAGACATAAAAAAATTAAAGAATCAAGGAAGAGAAAGGAAGCAGTGTTAACGGAGTAAGTGGGATCACTAGATTCGGCAGTGTATCCACATATTTGTATGTGTGTTAATCTTGTTTTTTTTTTTCCCCCATTAGATTGAAATCTACTTGATAGCAATTTTTAATTTTCTACTTACATTATAATTGTCCAATATCTTAACAAAAAAAGCCCTTTCCACATAATCCACATCATTATGACTTTAACTCTTGGGGATCGAGGATTCATGGCCCTAAATTGAATTGGAGTATGGTAATGGTTCCAGCCTACGCTTAAGAAAGGAAAGGCCTCAGAAGCAAGCAGGGGATGGGAAAGGAAAGAGAACAGCGTAACAACAGTTCTCTTAAAAAAGTCTCAAGGCTCATAGATATACAGTCAGTAATCCTTTCCACTACTACCAAGAAAAAGTAGTGACACTCCCCATGCTTTATTTCACAAAACCTTCTGTTGTTTTTAGTTGCTGTGGAGTATAATCCGACTCATGGCAACCCCATGTACGCAGAGTAGAACTGCTCCATAGGATTTTCAAGGCTGTGACCTTTCGGAATCAGATCGCCAGGCCTATCTTCTGAGGCACCTCTGAGTGGGTTAGAACTGCTAACTTTATGGTTAGTAGTTGAGAGCTTAACCACTTGGACTGCCCAGACTCCTTCAAGACTGTAATTTGCTCATTCAGGGAGATCTTCAAAGGTGTTTTTTTTACTTGATTTTATGGGAATCAAAATATTCCGGGGGTTGGGGGCACATAGTGTGATATGCCTCCCCTAGGGGTTGCCCTAGGAGATTTTCTTTTTAATAAGCCCAAATAATAATTTATTAATTCATTGGAGAGTATACCTTTCCTTACCTAAAATAAATCATGGCCACCATTTAGGCACTGCTGGCGCAGTGGTTAAGAGCTACAGCTGCTAACCAAAAGATCAGCAGTTCGAATCCACCAGCCACTCCTTGGAAACTCTATGGGGCAGTTGCACTCTGTCCTGTAGGGTCGCTGTAACTTGGAATCGACTCTTCGGCAGTGGGTTTGGTTTGGGTTTTCCCAGTAATGAGGTACCTGAGAGGTCAAAACTTTTATCAGATGGTTCCTTCATGAGCATGGAATGCAGGGATGTTTTGCTAAGAAATAATGTGAACATTTTTAGAGTTCGTCTCCTTGGGTAGGAGGAGGGGTAAAGGGGAGAAAAGCTTTATATTTTCAAGGGGATGTCATTAAGAAGTTTTTTAAAAGGCTACTTTACTGCTTAATATGTATGTTTAATTATGACATCATTTATACAGTGATTTGTTAAGCTTATATAAATATCATAAAACATTATGAAATGAAAAACTTATTTCAAACATCGTGTTCTAGTTTTTACAGATGATTTAATTTCAAAGTGATGTCAAGATGAAAGGAGGAAAGAGAATGTCTAAAAATCCTCCATTTTAATAAATTTTATTCCTTAGTTTTGTTTTATACCACCTAAATAAGATCCCCTGAAGTAGAGTATCAATCCAATGCCCAAGAAACTGCTTACACTATTCAGATACGGAAAATTCAAGAGTAAAATATTGTCAACAAACTACTTAAATTAAGGCTCTCTGATTGGCAGATCTTCCTAAATCCCATACACTAGAATACTTAATACAATGCAGCTCCATAATTCCATCGATGTAGTAGATCCCATCTGCCAAGCAGAACAAATTGTTGATTTTTGCATACTAAGCCAAATATGCATAAATTATTTTTAATTATATAAAACCAAGTGCTAAATTTAGGTGCCACAGAAAAGTCATTATCCTTATCAGCCAGGAGGAACAAGGGATAATGTAAGTATAATTGCAAGAATGTAGAAGGGTGAATTACTTATCTAAATGAAGGAAAATCACTTTTTCTGTAAAATAACCTTGTGTATAACAAAAATGCCCACAAAACAGTCCACTTTGCTGTGAGCCAGAATAATTAAGTAAGATAAAATTAGGCAAATGGTTAAGTAATCTACCAGGTAGCCAGCAGAAATATTTCAAAAATTTAGAAAAGAGCATCATAATTGTAACTTCCAAACCAGTCTACTGCTTTAACCATCCTAGACTTCTATGTTGTATTAATTCCATTATAAGAAAAAAAATTGTAGCCAACTAACTTCACCAAGTGCACACGTAAACTCATTACATTGCTGGTAGTTATTGCCAATTATCACAGGGCAAAGAAATGAAATCTTAAAGAAAGTACAGTTATTAACATTTCTAGATGGTCATTATCTTTTCTTCATTACAAAAAATGTATAAGCTAATCTTCTAAAGGGAAAGCACAAAATATTGGATTTTAGCAAACAAAATGAACAAAGGCAAGCTTATGTTGGCACACATTCAAGCTGCTGGGAGAACTAATCCAAATGTGGATTTGTAGTAAAGCATAGCAAAGCTCTTGGCTTCACAATTTTAAGTAAGAATATAGTAATTGAACAACCATGAAAATCGGCACACACTTTTCCTCTGGATCAAAAGAACCAAACAAACTTTAAAAGCATCTTTTTCCTTGATTCTGATCCCTTTTCTTTAACTTGCATGGAATATAGAGGCAGGTCTCACGTGGTATATTTCAAAAAACATCTTGACAATACCACAAGGAAAACAATCATGCAGAAATATAAATTGACCAGGAAGTACAAAAATGGGGCTATGCCTAGTGACAACATACATGCGTGGTAGAATTTCCTCTTATTCTAGGGATATGGAGAACAGTAAATGGGGGTAGGTGGAACAGACATAAGAAGCTGATGCAATTGGCCCAAGCTTTAAGAAAGTCTGTTAAATGAAAATTCAAACATAGAAAGCAAGGAGTGATTATTTAAAGGAAACTTGCAACAAGTCAAAAATCATTTTATACTACATTACAGTAATTTGATTCACAAGATTTTGATTTATCTATTATTTTTCAGGAACACAGCTGCACAAAGTGAAATACACTTCTTTGTTAATTGTGGGTAGGAGCACTGTAAAAAATTCTGGTCGAGTAAAATGATGGAGAACCAAAATATATTAGAAGACTATTTCTGAGGCTGTAACACAGGGCTATATGATCTATTTCAAATATATTCTGATGTATTCGCAATAGACTCAGGTAGATAGTTTACATCACTGGGCAATTATGAAAATCAATTCTCAGATTTTAATCTGGAAAATATTTGCATCTATTAAATGGAAAGATTCCTTTACAAAATAATACTTCTAATGTTTAAAAGGAGCCCTGGTGGCGCAGTGGTTAAGCACTGGGTTGCTAACCAAAAAGGTCACCAGTTTGAATCCACTAGCCGCTCCCTGGAACCCTATGAGGCAGTTCTACTCTGTCCTATAAGGTCGCTATGTGCCCGAATCGACTGGACGGCAACTTTTTTTTTTTTATGTTTAAAAATCAGAAAATGACAACATGTCAAGTCTAATGAGGGAATTTTTGTTGCCATATTTTCAAGAAGGTCATTTTAGAAACTGGATAGATGAACAGTTTTGCAAGACGAAAAAAAAAAAATGTGTCCTGTAGAACCTCCGGATTCTCTCCACCCTGGAGATGGCTTAAAAAAAGGAAATCACAGCACATGTTTATCACCATCTTAACATACCTTGATTTGGCACCTATTATATCTCATTTTGGAGCCCTGGTGGCACAGTGGTTTAAGCAATCGGCCACTAACCAAAAGGTCGGCAGTTCAAATCCACCAGCTGCTCCTTGGAAACCCTATGGGGCAGTTCTACTCTGTCCTATAGGGTTGCTATGGGTCAGAATTGACTCGACGGCAACGAGTTTTGTTTGGTTCATATTTCATTTTATCCTCACAACTCTCAGGTAGGCACCATTTTACAGAAGCAGAAAAGCAGTGTCACCTCCTCTATGATGCTTTACCCAACCCTCCAGTCATTTGGTTTTAATCACAACTTGCCTGCTTTACTAGTGGGTCTTCCTCCGCCCCCCATCCAACCTCAACCACCTCCCGTTTGTCCAGATTAGGAGTACTTCAAAAGCAAGGAAGGGAATCTTAATTGTACCCTAGCATTCCATGTGGCACATAGTAGGTGCTTAAGGTTGAATAAATGAAAAAAAAAAATGTAGAATGTCATCCACCAGGTAAGAGATGCACGTAGGACTACAATACAGGTTTTCCAACTCACCTCTCTTCCCAGTACTTCACACTGCCTAAATTAAGCCTGCTTTACCATTTCAAGGCCAGGAAATCAAAGTAGAAATTGTCATGAAAAAGAGCTCTTGTCACTCTAACGTCCAAAAGTTTGAATGCCCCTCCCAACATGAATGGTCTCAAAATAACTTTCTCAAGAGGCTTTAAACACTTGGCCAAGGAACAATTCTTGTTTTCTTTTTTCTTTTTTAAAATATAAATATTGAGGGCAGGTTGGGATATGCGGAAAGAGTGAAACTTCCGTTTGTTTGATTGGTTTTGCTTAGAATTAGGGTTTTCAAAGAAGGGATAGCTTCAAAGACTCAGTAAAAACCCTATGCCGTGGAGTTGATTCCGACTCATAGAGACTCTATAGGACAGAATATAACTGCCCCACCGGGTTTCCAAGGAGCGGATGGTGGATTCCACTGCCAGCTCTTAACCACTGCCAACAGGGCTCCAAACACTCAGTAGAGAAATTAATTCTGACGTTGTAATAGCCTTCTCGAGGGAAGTCTGGTGGTGCAGCAGTTAAAGCGAACGACTGCTAACCGGCAGTTCGAAACCACCAGCCCCGTCGGCTTCGGTAGAGATTTACAGCCTCGGAAACCCCATGGGGTCACTATAAATTGACCTCGACTGGAGGGCAGTGGGTTTTTTGTTTTGTTTTGTTTTAACAGCCTTCTAAGAGGAGATCCTAAGGACTAAAAACTTGGAAACAAAGTAAAAGATGCTGAATTGGAAGAAGTCAGCAATTCTGAGCATGTATTCTCGACCCCCTACCCCCACCCCACACACACCCAATCTCTCCTTTGAAGCCCGAGTCTCTGATCAGATTGGGGCTCCTCCCTTTTCTCCTCATACCCCCTCCCCCCAAACACACAGACCCTTACACTTTCCAAGGTGGTGGTTACGGGTATGGTTTTTTTTTTTTTAAGTCCACAGCTACGAACTGGCCCCTGTCACCAGCCTTAAAGAGACGCATCTGGGTCTAACACTCGTCATCAGTCCCCTTCCCCCATGGGAAGCGAGAGGGCAGGTCCCCAATTCTTTCTTTGCCCCAGAAAGAACCCTCCTCCCTCTACCCGTCCCACCCAAAGAGCAACTGCTGTCCAGTGAGGCGTTCTTAGCACTCGGTGGTGGCGGGAGAAGAACCCCAGTCTCTCCGCCCAGGGTTTAGGGTTGGGCGGCGGGTAGCAAGGAGAACTGTTTTCCTCACCACCCTTCAAGTAACGGCGAACACTGCCCTGAGGCAGATGCGGGTGGCCACAGCTTACCTGTGAGCCCCCCTCCGCCTTCCTCTCCGTAGCCCCGACGCCGCTGCAGCACGAAGTAGTCGTTGGATCTTTCCATCAGCCACAGCTTCAGCGCATTTTTCAGGAGCACTTCCTCAGGCTTCAGCCACATCGTGAAGAACTTTGTGCCGCCCAGAAGCAGCGACCTAAATGTCCTCCTCACCTCCCCCTCCACCCGTGTCTTCCCCTCTACTTCACCTCCCACCAAACCTTCCCCGGGCGGCAGCGGCTCAGGTTCAGGTTCTCTACACTTCCCCCAACCCTCCCTGCTCTCCCACGTAGGCAGAGAAATTGCCAATTCCCTCCCACAGCGCTAAAGCCAGACGAGGAAATAGTCCCACTTCTTCACCTCTTGGGACTTGTAGTTTCCTACCCGCTTTTTCTTGACTTACGCGGTTGGAGCAAGAGACTACACTTCCCAGAATGCACTGGAGTGAGGACCGGTTGGGGGTGCTTTCAAAACGGGTCCCGCCACTAGTTAAGTGATTTTGCCTATCCAAAGTTTAAAGCGGTTTATTGTTCAGATAAGTGTGAGCCCTAGGTATAAAGGTGTTACTTCTCATCGTTTTACAGCTGAGGGCATTAAATTGTAGGATACAAAGTTCCCGGAATTTTGGCTTAACGGCCTATTCTGGGAAGCAGCGGTAGCAGCAATTGACATCTAATGAGCGTTTACTACGTACTAAGGCGATTTCACGTACACCATCTCACGTAGTCCTCAAAGATGTCCTGCGAAGTAAGTAGTATTCCCAACTTTGCGCATTAGTAAACGAAACCGTAGACAAGTGAGGTGACTTACTCAACATCACACAATTAAGTGAGTCTGATTCGATTCCTTGTCTAATTTCCAAAATTCTTGCCTAGATTAAGCTCTTTCTGCCCGTACAGGAAGAATATAAAATCTCTAGAAGGTAGTTTCCTTCATGCCGTGCGTCTCTCCCTTCCCCAACTGCCGCCCCAATCTGTCTATTCAAGTACTGTAATAAGCCACAGAAAATCTCTTGTTCAGCTTTCGTTTTCTGGGCCTAAAGAATTTATGAGCAGTTTTTTCTTTCTTTCTTTCCGGAGACTTTTTAAGGAAAAAAAAAGACCCCTTACAGGGCAGACTTCACGTTTTAGAATCCTGTCAATGGCACGCAGCTGCTTAAAACACTAGGATGCATGAGGTTAGTGATGCGCATTATATCCATATGAGGAATTGTTTGAGGGACATTTTATTTATTGCCTTAACTTAACCCACTGGAATTCAAGAGTGCACCGAAAGCGAAAACAGGTTTATGGGAAGGAAAGAGTTGGAAGGCAATGTATGTATAACCAAGGAGCGCTTGGCATGCTGCTTTGAGAATGAGGCCTCCGGGATGTGCCCTCTCAGAGGAAGACATGTGCTACACGCAGGGGTTTTTTTCTTGCTGCTGAGCAAAGAGGCAATTTGGAATTCTCATCTACTAAAAGGCAGTTAGTAGTCCCAAGGAAGCTTTCTGGAGAAGAGGATGGGAAGAGGCAGTCCTCCCAGAGCCCAGACTGAAGTGTATCCCTGAGAAAAGAGGTCTCAATTTGGATGCACACTAAGGTAAATAATGTATTTCCATCTTCCTGGTGAAAGATCAGTAAATGTCGCAAAGGAAAGAGATGTGAGGTGTCTTTCTCTTTTTTACCTCTCCTTCCCCTTTTTCTTTCCTTCCTCATCAAACCACATTCTTTTCCAATACTCTTAAAAGTTAGAATTGTGGCAACAGCTGTCCGGAACTGGATGGTTCCTCCCTCTGACTCTTTCCTCTGCAACTCCATCCAGATTTACTCTGTTACACGATCAGCCCCCCCTTTTTGCTCATAGGAGGACATTTAGAGAACTCCTGCTTTACTAACAAGCATCTCATTGGTTATGTAAAGAAAACATTTTTCAAATTAAGTTACTTCTCTGATGTAAAATTTTAGCTTGATCATAAACTATTTCGAACCTTTGCAAACAAAAGTAGTTTTCTGAAAGTGCCTTAAAAAACAGAGCATGCCACTCTATTCAACATTCAGTTGTGTATGTTAATATAAATTGCTTAGAGAAAGAAGACTGGGATTACAGACTGCCTTGGATAACAGCAATTATCATGTCCTGTACTGGTAGTGTATATATATATATATAATATCATTTAATCTTCATTAACAAGCTTATACGTTTTTACATCCTTACTTTACAGATGAAGAAAATGAGGCTCAAAGAAGTAACTTGCCTAAGATCACACAACTAAATAAATGGCAGAGCTGGGTTTTACACCTAGATTTGCCTGACTACAAACCATGACTCTATATTGCTTATGTATATGGTACATGGACACCTCAAATACAACACATCCAAAGCCAAACTTATTTCTCCAATATCCCCCCTTGAAGTTGTTTCTCCTACTAGGTTCTCTTAGTTCATAGCACCATTATTCCCCCCAGGATGCTCAAGCTAAGAATCTTGGAATAATTTAAGACTTCTTTCACTTACCACCCCTGTTAGCCCACCCCACGAGACACACACACACACCCCTACACCTCTACTTCTTTTTCTAAAATCCATCTGATCCTCCTGTTACGGCTTTAGATTAGCCTCACATCACTTTCCTGCTATACTATTATAAAAGCTTCCTAACTCACCTGTCTGCTTCCATTCTTGTTTTCTGGTTTATGGAAGCCACATATTTAAGGACACAATGTTATACCGTGTAGATATGAATAATACCTCATTTATCTGGAGGTCAGTCTTCCTGCTGACTCAGCCTTCTAAATCATAGCCTCAAACACTTATGTGAAGTCATAGGGAAACTTTCTAAATAGCAGTT